TACTTCCGGAGGGGCTCGTCGGGAGCTTGGATTATGGCGCCCAACGCGACTTCAGTCTTCGGGTGGCGTCGGGATGCCGTGAAGTGTCTCGAAAAGAGGTCCTTCAAGACCCTCCACGACGTGACTGACTCCGGCTCCAGGCTCTTGTACCATGTCATGGCACCTTTCCTCAGCGTTGTCGGGAATAATCTGCATTTGATAGCTCCATGGACGTTCTGGTAGTCGAGCATGGCCTCGATGTCTTCCAGGTAATCGTCCAGGTCGGAGGTGTCGTCGTACGTCGAGAGTACCGGGGGTTTCTCCATCCCGTGGGGAATGAGGGCAACCATGATCTCTTGGGAAAAGGGGGTCCTGTAACCATCTTCGTCACTGAGAGTTGGTGACCGAGGGGGTGACGGGCCATTCGGAGGAGGCGCCTGATTTCGTGCCTTCGGCCTCTTGACCGGGGGTTCGACCCTCGGAGGTCTGGTCGGTGGATCCACTCTGGTCGGTCGTCTCTCCCGAACTTGTCTCGTTGGGGACCTAGTCCAATCCTACACTACTTCGGGTTGGAGCCTCTCCAGCCGAGGTCGTCAGTCCCTGGGGAGAGATGAGGGACTCCTAGAGTTTTCGTTCTGGTTTTCCCGCAGAGGGGACCTTGGTGGAACCCCGTGCTCTAGTGTGCCAATTTGTGTGTTATGTTGAAATAGGAGTTGATTCGTTTGGTTGATGGCCACGAAGAGGGCGGCCACCGTCGGGTCCGCTCTGGCCGGAACAGGAATGGGCTGGAACGCTGCTGGGCTCTTTGGTCGGAGGACAGTCTGGTGTGCAGCTTCCGCGGACGAAGGGGAGGCAGTCTGGTCGTCTCTCTCGTCGGTCTCCGGAGGATGGGACGTCTCTATTTGCTTGCAGACGTTCGCGGCAGGGGCGAGGATGAAGTCGTGAACAGCATCGTGGTGGTGTGGGATAGCCATGATCGCAGAATGTTGGTGAAAACTTTGGTTCGCTGCTCGGAGGAACGGGGAAGTTTCAGTTTCCCACAGACGATGCCACTAATCTGGCCTGATCAGAAGGGGACCAAGGACTTGCCACACGTCGTTAATCTGCTGCCTGCTCACCAGTGTTGAAGAGGAGGAAGGGGTGTACCTGCAAGACACTCCGATGCCAAAGTAAGGAATTGGACAGAGTGAGAGCAAATACGGAAAAGGGGTAAGAAGAGAATTACCTAACCCTCTTGTGAAAGAGGGTATTTATAGAGAGACCCCAGCGCTGGGCCAATGGTCACTTGTGTTGGGCTGGATTGCCAGGCCCAACCCAGGTGACTACTAGGGCTTACGTGGCGTAGTGAAGACCAGGACGTGGTCTTCGCTCTAGTCCAATTGTCCCGTGATCTCCGGAAAGTGGGTTTGACCTGCTCTTTTGGAGGTGGGTAGCTGGTCGGTTACGTGTCCCCGCAGAGGGGAGCACGTGAAGAACGTGTGAAGGACACGTCGTCCTGCCCGACAGGGGAGCGGGTTCTGCCCGCGGAGAGGGCAGTGTCTGGTGATGGGAGAGTCTTACGCTCGATATATATGGGCAGGTTCTGCCCGCGGAGAGGCATTACGTGTCCGCCGGGGACCTTGTGCTCGGAGGCCGCGGCCCAAGCTGGACTGGGCTTGGCAGGATATTATTGGGCTGGGCCTGCCTGGCCAAGCCGGGGCCCAGGCCAGAACAAGTCTTTTAATCTCACTTGGTAGATTAGGCATTCAACTATCAGTAAAAAAATATGCATTCAGATGGCACATTTTTTATCAGTAAAAATGCATATGCTTTTATCATCCATTTTTCTCTCTCAAATCAAAATTGTCATCTATGGTTTTCGAAAGTTTACGTGACCCTACAGTATATGTATTAACTGATTGACCCTGCTAATTGTTAATGTTTTGTTCGTTTACAATATGTTTCTGAATTTTTATGTATTCTATATGTATTTATGATTTTGAGTGTATGTCATATTTAAAATAAGCAAGGCATTTTCTGCACTTTGTTAATTAAAAAGACTTAATGTATTGCAGGGAGGTAGTAAACAAGTTAGATTCCAGCATGCTCATGGGAAGTTTATAGCTACTGCTACTGGAAATACTCCCAAACTAATTGATGTTCAGTAAGTTATGTTGTCATTTTAATTATGCTAATACTGCAAGTTTATGACTTGCTTAGTATATTTCATGTTGTCATGGATGTAAAGCAACTTCACCTTCTGTTATGAAATAACTATGTAGGTTACTCAAAGGCATTAATTGTTGTTATGCCCGTCATTTTTTCATTTACAAAACTGATGAACTTAATATTTAGGTTTGTGGAGGGAGCATTTCCTTCAATTCACAACACACTAATTCAAAAGAAAAAGGGTGTACACCGAGTTCATTCTCATTTCAATTTTGGTGTATACCGAGTTACAAGCAAATTTTTGCATACAACTACAATTGAAATATTTGGCAGAAGAAATGCAAGCTATTAGTAAATGACTGGAGAAAGTAATTCAAGAATTGTCTGCATCAGAAAACAACGAGCCCGTGTCAGAATACTTCTACCAGGTACAAACTTCTAAATTCCGATGAATTTGGATTATTACCCTTCTGTTATGTGCAACTTATGATTTGAGTATTTGTAATATTCAGATTCTGAAAGAATTTCTTAGTCACGTCGAAGCTGAAGTGAGGGCTTTGGCTCAGCTTTATGCCAATGTGGTATGGATTTGGTTCTTTCTTCTTTAGCATATTTTTTTTCTGTAAATGGTAAATTCAAGATATCACAAGAAATGTATCTAAAGTTCTGAATTTGAATGCACCAGGGTAGAAATGCAGATGCGTTGGCGCTATACTTCGGAGAAGATCCGGTACGTTGCCTGTTCGAACAAGGTAAATAGGAAAAACATCATTTCACAATATAGTCGCCATAGAGATTCTTTATTTTTGTGGTTTTCTTTTTTTTTTTTCTCTCTCTATAGTTGTATCTACACTGCTCAACTTTGTGAGGATGTTCATAGAGCACACGACGAAAATTGCAAACAGGTTTAATATGAAAAGAAGAAAGCAGATAAGGAAGCTGTAGAAAATGAGAAATTGAAGCTAGCTGCGAGAAACGAGCCTAAACCTATGATGAGGAGCACCATCAAGAGCGGTGATGGTAAATAATCACACTTTTTACAAGGCCTCAAGCTTCTGACGATTTTCTGTACAATGTAGGTTCGAAGCCCATACAGAAATTCGTGTACTCGGCAATCGCAATGTAAATGCTGATCTGGTGTGTTTTCTTTAACATAAGATAGAAAGTGTTTAGCTTTTATTTTCAATGTGAGCATTTAGAGGCACCAATACTGAAAAATTTCGGTTTATGCTCCATTGTTACATGAACTGATGAAGACAAATGCTTTGTAAATATCAAGTTATTGCTTAGAATACAAGTTACAAATTTTAGTGAGTCATTTTCTTTGTTAGAAGTTTCTCACTTTCACCGTAAGCATTTGTTAGAAGTTACAAATATCAAGCTATTGTTTGAAGAGAAATGATTTATCATGTAAGCATTTTTGCACCTAAATAAAATGAGTCATTGAACCAAGGTTAGAGTCTACTCAAACAACAAAATTTTCATCTATAGTATGTATATATACCTTCTGTTTTGTTGGGCATCTATGAGCCATGGAGCACCTAAAGTAAGCTCTAGGAGAAGCATTATCTTTGGTAACTTTCTGTCCATACTTTCTCCATTGATAGTCATCTTTTATCATCTATGATTCTTGAAGGCTATCAATAATATCTATTATCTACTCATTAAAAAGGAATTGCATGCTCTGACTAATTAATCCTTACTATTTTCAAATTTTACACTAACAAAAGGGTATTTATGTAATCAACAAATGTTACCATTTATTTATCCTCTTATCCTATTACATCATGCCAAGTGTTAAGTTTTCACACTCTAAAATCAATCTTAAATTGACACCTGTAAACACTAGATCAATTTCACTCTCATTCTCCCTCTCATTTCTCTCACAGTTTCATTTTAAATCTCTCTCTCTCTCTTGTTTCTCTCATCTCTCTCATTCAATTCACTCCGTCTTGCTATTTTTCTAACCTACTTCATACTTTTTATATGAATTAATAGTACAATTAAATAAAATACTTTCAAAACACAATTCACTATAAAGTTGAGTCAGTAGTAACATGTCAAATCCTCAGTAGTGAAACTGGGATACCACACCATTCTTGAGTTCTCATTTGTTACTTTATACGCTGACCTACTTATGTAAAGACATAAGTACAACAATAGTTTTCTTCCAAGCAGTTATACTTTCTCACCTTACCAACTTTCAAATAGTAGATCTAGGAATCACTATTATATTTAGTTCATTTCCAACTAAATCAACTTTTTTCATTGTCACACGCTTAATTTGTGTATTTGCTCAACCATTAATTAATATATTCTAATGATCACCTTATATAACTTATATAAGAGTTGTAAATTGTCACAATACATTTAACTTACTTGCATCTAATTAATTTTAATCAAATTATCATAAGAAATTAATCATTCAATTTAAAATATCATTCCTTTGATATAATTAATTTTCATTATACAATTAAATTTATCAATTCATATTTACAAATACATATAAATAAATTATATATCAATTAAAATTAAAAAATTCGTCCGAACGCAGTCTTTTACGAGTGTTACATTACAATATTATAAAAAAGAAGTGAAGAAAAATATAATATTAGTGATGAGATTAGTTTTAGAAAAACCCATCAACTTTACAAGAAACCCACGTGGCAACAATACAATAATTCTCAACAACAAAAATTGAAAATCCCAACATATTAAAATATCAAGAATCCTCACTCAAAAAAAAATTATCTTTTCCTGTAAAACTTTACCGTTATTTATCTATCTGTACTGTACCAGAAAATATATCAAAAATTACATAATTAAAAAAAAAAAAAAAAGTGAAATCTTTGCAAGATTTCTCGTTACTGAGTTCAACGATTCACCCCGAGCCTGGATCGGAGCAAGAACACACTGAGTTCCTGACCGGTACACTCGTCCGGGTTTACAAGATGAAACGACTCGGAATCAACGTTTCCCACAACGTGTTCGAAATTAGCACGCATATACATAAGCTCCTCGGAACCCGACCCGAATCCGGAAGGTATAACGCCTGCACCGACGGTGACACACTGCATGGTTGAAAGAATGTTACGGACCCAATCTCCGGCACGTCGGCGTGCGGAGAAACCGGTTTTACGGCCGTTGCAGTAGGCGGTCCAGAGAGGGACGGAGCGGAGGGGGCAGTTGGAGAAGGCGGGGTCGTCGGTGGAAGTGCAGCATTCGAGAGCGATACGGACGAGGCCGTTGCGCATTTCACGGACGAGGTTGTTGGTGGAGAGAGGGAGTTCGAGGAGGAGAGAGGGTTTTAGGGTTAGGCGGTCGTGTTGAATGCAGAACCAAACGTGGCCGCGGCGGTTGCCGAAGATGGTTCCGATTACCATGGATTTGGAGGGGCGGGGTGGGGCGGTGGTGGAGATTGTTCTTGCGGTGGAGGAAGAGGTAGGAGAGATTGTGTGGTGGTTGTCCTGGAGGGAGGTGTTTGTGCTTGTGCTTGTGCGGTTTTTCTTGGTTGAGGTTGTGGTGGGATGTTTGGTGGTGGTGGAAGGGGTGGATGAGGTGAAACATGGGAAAAAGAATCGACGGAGGGTGTCGATGGTCATGGTGGTGGTGGTGGTGGAAATGTGGAAAGTGGTTCTTGAAGGTGGTAAAGAAAATGGAGTGTTATGGGAAGTGAGGAAGGTGAAGGGTGTGCACGTGCATGGTGATACGAATTGTGTGCATATGTAGATATATATAATAATGTAGTGATAAGATAAGGGTTAGCTGTGGAAGTGTGTTTATGATGATTGATTATTGCTTTGGTTTGTTTTTGTAGATGAAACTCACATGCCCTTATGATTTCATCTGATATGAGACAGCATGTTATGACTGTGACTATGAGTCAAGGTCTTAAAAAATTCTTAGCAGTAACTCATATGTTGCGGTCACCGAAAGGGATGTGAATAATAATATTGATAAGACACCTTCCAATATTAATCGACTTTTTTTAAACTTGTTATGACTCATGAGTATCTACCAGCAACACCTTTTAAATTGAATAAATGTCTAATTTGTCTTGTATTATAGAATATGGTTTTAAAATCGCACCTTTTAAATTGAATAAATGTCTAATTTGTCTTGTATTATAGAATATGGTTTTAAAATCGCAAATGTGGTTGCAGGTGTTGCAATTGCGGTTGTTGTAATGTGCATTGTGATCGTTGTAGCGTGAATTTTGATTGAGGTGTTTGAAATTCAATGTTAAAAAACAGTTAGTGTTAAGACTTTTTATTGTTAATTGAGTTTTGGATTATGAAATTTTGAGATTTGGTGAAAATACTTGAATCGTCTGATGTTGTTTTTAGTGCAGTCGAATGGGTGATTTTCAATCACACTTAATTGCAATTTGATGTTGTTGCGGAAACTCTACATTTAGGATATTTCAGTCATAATTGCAATTGGGAAGCGCATAAGTTAGGATAATATATAAGACAATAAAAATCTATTCATATCTTCTCATCTATTGAACCAAATGAGTAAAAAAAAATAAAGATCCAACTACCTTCTGTTTTTTCATTATATAACTAATACAACAAATAAAATCACATTGATGATAAACAATCAAGCTCTATTTAAGTTTCTAGAACTCAATGACTATTGTTTATACTCATTTTCTTCATCTTCTCCTTCACTTTGACTCTTCTTCTGTCTCTGCAACACCTCACTAGACAGAAAAAACCGAGCAAAGAACAAGAAATACAACAAGTTCAACACTCCAAGAACAGCAATAGTATAATAATAATACTCAAGCTTATTCTTATTCAAATCATTTCCACCTAACCAAGGTGTTCCACCATTCCTCTTTGTCAAACCAACAATAATCTTTATAAGAATATTGCTTAAAGAACTTGCAATGCTTAAACTAAGAAAAAACACTGCACCACCTAATGTCTTCATGCTCTCAGGCCAATATGAAGTTAGCAATTCCATCATAGGAATCGCGGCGAAAACTTCTACGAGACCAGATAAAGCAAACTGCGGAATAAGCCACCAGATTCTCGTAGGCGATTCAAGCAAATTGGCTTTCAACGCGTTGTCTCGACGACGTACTTCTATTAGTCCCGCAATCACCATGCAAGCAATGGAACAGATAATTCCTATTGTTAGTCTTTGTGCAATGGACAACCTTTTACCTTTTTTTAAGGTATTTTTCATGGTATAAGGTACATAGAATTTCTCATAAAGTAGAATCCATAATGAGAGTGAAATCATTGGTACTAATCCCATCCAAGCTGGTGGAACTTTGAAGTTTTTTCCGATCGATTTGTCGGTTTGTAGTGCTTGTAAAACTCCATAAGAATTCGCTTGTCCCATTGAAAGAAAACATATGATTCCTGCTAACCAAACTGGTAATGTTGTTACTATTGATTTCAATTCTTCCACTTGTTGTAAACTGCATAACCTCCAATTATCAATCGATTTTCCGTTGTTGTCGAGTTCAGTTTGGTTTGTAATCACCGCGGCTTTTTCCAAGAATCTAAACCTATTTGTATGAGCAAGCTTGAGACTTGCATGTCTTGGTTCTTCCGTCTCGTTAGAAGGTAATGGTGGATCGTAAAACGAGAGTTCGGAGTCTTTCTTCATATCAACATGATGTTTCCTAATTGCAGCAAGAACTACTTTGAACAAGTCACATAACACACTTCCTTTCGGCTTTAACCGGATGTAAGTGCCTTGTCCGATCAAGAAGATGGTTAGGGAGAACGCGAAGCAAACGGTCGGAATGATGTAACCGAGAAACCAGCTTATGTTTGTTTGAATGTAGACAACCATAGTAAGAGCTACCAAAAGGGCTACTGTGAATAAGAAATACCACCAGTTACAGAAACTCTCTAATTGTGCTCTTCCTTTTTCTGTTTTTGTATCGAATTGATCGGCTCCGAAGGCAATGTTGCATGGTCTTAGACATCCTGAGCCGATTGCGAAAAATCCAAGTCCCATATATAAAACAGCGAGCTGCGTGCTTGTTGGATTCGTCAGTACGCAACCAGAAAGAGGGGGGCATGGCGGAGGTCTTAATGATGGTACACCAGCACCTAGTGACATGAATCCCATGCCCTGTCACATATTGAAACTCAACTGTTCATTCATATTTCATAAGAAGAATAACATCTATAATAGAGATTATAATTGTAAATTGCAATATGCAACCTTGCTACCCCAATTGTGACCGCGATATAAAGGTTTTAGAAGTTTTTGCAAAGGCATCACAACTGCAATTACGACTACATTTGTTAGGACAATTTTTAAGGGCCTGAAATGTGAGCTGCTGAGCTCAAAATACAATTCTTATTTATTTTGTCGCATTTAAACTATGACTTATCTAGAGTCTCGGAAAACTTAACTATCCCGACATTTGTCTACATTCGAAATATCAAGGTTTATGGGGTGAATATAAATACTGCATGCGTGTTTTGTGCCAGACATATATGATTACATTTAATTTTGTCACGTACTCACGTTATTACTCAAATTATTACCAGTGTGTCGTATTCATCCGACATTCATAGATAATATATAAATTTAAAATTTATAAGATAGAGTGATTTGTATTTACCAGAAGTGAAGCTATGCTGCCAAATATAAGCATATAAAATTTTCCAGTATATGCATCTGCAAGATAAGCAGCAACCAATGGAAGAAAATTTGTGAAACCAGACCAAATATTGAAAACCTCAACAGAAAATGTTGTATCCATGTTGTATTGTGTATGCATGTAAACAATTAAGTTGGCTATTAAACTCATAGAAGCCAATTTCTCGAATGTCTCGTTTCCTATAATCAAACAAAAACACAAAATTTTAATCCATATAAAATTATATCAAGAAAATAAAATTAAAATAAAAGAACAATTGTAATTGAAGGTTTTATTTATTTACCAAGAATGTATTTGACTGATTTCCATCCTCCTCTTTTCTTTTTGGTTGAAGATGAATCATGAATTTCAGAAGAATCATTCTCATTCATCATCTCCTCTTCCATCTATGAATTTTCTAACCACCTCCTCCCCGTTTTTGACCATAAAGGTTTTTAATCTTTATAGGCCAATGAAATGAAAGAGCCAGAAGAGTCTTTGAATTTATAGTATAGTGAAGAAATTGTACCCGATTCATTCTAAAATAAGAATTTTTTTAAATATATTTCAAATATGTCCTCATTAATTGTTGATACTATTTGTTGTCATAAAATTATAATAATATTTTATTTAATTAAAATTTTATAAATAAATTTTAAGATTATAAAATATAGTGTAAAATAATTAGTTAAAATTAAAATTAGAATAAATTCATTAATATTGAGAATTTTTTACTAGAATTGAAGAAGATGAACATGGAGGTTCATCCTTGTGTAACAGAATTCTGTTACAGATGCAGAAGAGTAAGAGAGAAAAGGGAAGAAAGGGTGAAAAGAAGTTATGTTTGTTAATTAGGAAATAATCTTTGCAGTTATTGTGAATAATTTACATTTATAGAATAGGAAATTAGTCATTATGAATTGTAATTAGTCATTATCAGCTATAATTAGTTATTATGAGTTATAATTACCGACACTATTATATATAGTATGAAAGGCAATGAGAAAGGCATCAAGCCAAATTTCGTGACATGGTATCAGTAGGTTCGATCAAACCTGGAAAATATTATTATATTGGCTGATCAGCGATACCCCACTGGTTCGCTCTCGTAATCGTGTTCGTTTCGAAATTCTTTCGTTTGAAATCGAAACCTTGCAGCTGTCTGAGATTCTAAATCTTTGGTTGCCGGTTCGTGATTTCGTCTTGGAGATTCTCGTTGTTGCGCTGATATTGCAATCAATTTTTTTTGGTTCTTGGCTGTTGTTGCTTCGTGATTCTGGATCGTCATAATCTTCTGTTTTGCCGCTCCTTCCAAATCGTGGATTTGATCGTGCTGTTGTTCGTTGGTTCGTGGGTATTGTTTCTTGTTGCTGCTCTAGTAACTGTGATTACAGTTACTGTTATTATATTATAGTTATTATTATTATTATTATTATAATTATTATTATTATAATAATAATAAAATAATATTAGTGAGATTGTATCTGGTGGTTTAATAATTTAGATGGCTTCCGAAAAAGAAAGAGATAATTTTTGTGTTCGTTTTACCGGCAAGAATTATTCGGCATGGGAATTTCAGTTCAAGATGTATGTTAAAGGAAAGGGATTATGGAGTCACTTAGATGATGTTTCTAAGGCACCAACGGAGAAAACTGCTTTAGATGCGTGGGAAACTAAAGATGCTCAAATTATCACTTGGATTCTAAACAGTATTGATCCTCAGATGATAAATAATTTGCGTTCTTTTTCAACTGCTCAAGAAATGTGGAATTATCTGAAGCGCATTTACAACCAGGACAATTCGGCAAAACGTTTTCAGTTGGAGTTAGACATCGCCAACTACAAACAAGGTGATTTGTCTATTCAAGAATACTATTCTGGTTTTTTAAATCTTTGGGCAGAACACTCTGCTATTATACATGCTAATGTTCCCAAGACCTCTCTTGCGGCTGTTCAAGAGGTCTACAACACAAGTAGGCGAGATCA